AGTGCACGTGGGATTAGCCAGAAAGAGAATGAAAATGTAAACTCTGTACGGACACAGGTGAGGCTCACTGAGCACCCATGCTCAAAGCGTTGGAGGGGACATGTGCAGAAGAGGGTAACACCAAAGGTCTGCAGCTGGAGTATCAGAGTAAACACGCAGTTATAAAAACTGGCAAAAAAAGTCATTAATTCCGCCTGGGGGGTGAGGAGAGGAGATAACATTCAGAAAACCTCAGAGAGGAAGTGTTTTCTGAGCTAAACCTAAAAGGGGTTCAGGATCCTCCCTGCACAGGGGGCCTGGGAACCTGAATGAACATTCCAAGCAAGAGTTCATGAGGAAAAGTCCTGCGTCTGGTGTCTAAGGTGCTAAATAATAGCAGAACTCTCAAACTTACCGTGATTAACTTGCAATAGAAAGTTTGCTAGGTGGTATTAAGGGGCAGCAGGGATGAAGGATTATAAAGCCATTACAGAAAGTAACTTGAGAACATAAACTTTCATGAGCAACATGGTGTGCCCCCAACCCTACAAAGCATATAGACGATAGCCTCAAAGAAGTTCTTAAAAATCCAAGTCTGGGCATTACCTACGTCCATGACTCAGATACAACTAACACCATTAGTCCTCTTCACCATTAGGAGTCATCTTGATCTCTTTATGATTGCTAAGCAGGGTACAAAATTATGATTCTCCTTTCTCTTATAGGAATGAAACATAAAAGTGAATATCCTGCTTAAAGAGGGGGGAAAATCAATTCCCTCTGGATCTGGAGTGAAATTGAATTTTACGTGTTACTCAGCAGTCCCTGAGGTGAAGAAGGAAGGTGAACCTGCCTTTCTGTGTAACTGGAAGGACAAACATACTTTCTGTTAGGGGAGAAGAAAGAGTTAACAGAGGCAATAGTCAGGCCTCTCATTTTCCCCCTGAGCTGGTCCCTTTCTAATGCTAAGTGTAACTCTAACCTACTGGGTGAGAGAACTTAACACTATCATTAAAAAAAGAAAGAAAGAAAACAATTAATACCCCAGCTAAAGCAGACATCTCCCCTAGTCATGTTCCACCCAGGGTTACAAAAGAAAACCACAGGCCTCCTGAGCTGGGCTGTGATTACCCACACAGTGCCAACATCCTTTCTCATCCTCCACACACGCACTGACTCTCAAATGGAAGCTTGGTGTCCTGCACCATAGCTGCTAAACCTCCATTTGTTCTAGCCCTAGGCAATGGTTACAGAAGCATGGACACCTTCTATGCTTAGGACCGGGCAAGGAGTGGTTTCTTAGTGCCAACTAGGAGTCGGTAAAAATGACCTCTTCATTCTGTCTTCAGCCCAGAGGGTCCAAACAGCCAGGACATTTGCTCTGGAAACCTTTAAAAATTTTTCTTTTTCCCAAATTTCCAACTCTGAGAAGCTGGTGCCTGCAGAAAGCAAACAGCATACCTAATGTTCTGGCTTTTCAAAGTCAGATCTTTATCCAAGCCATGCCCTTGGTACCCTACAAAAATGGATTTATGAGTAAAATTAATGTGCTGGAAGCCCTCGTTATCTTGTGGTTTACAGAATTCATGTTGGAAGGTGCTAGATTTTATAGACTAGAGAGGGCTCTCAAATTAAGAAGGTAGAGAACTGAGAATGTGCCCAGCTGTTTCTCCATTTCCCGTGAATACTAAAGGAAAGAAAATAGGTCACATTAGAATAGTAGTTCTTAAAGTGTTGTCTCCAGGTCAGCAGCATGACTACCACCAGGGAACTTGTGTGAAAAATAAATAACCAGACCCTCCTGTCAAGACCTGATGGTGAGAAGCATGTCTGAACACCTCTTCTGGTCTGTGGATGCACATTCAGGCTCGAGACCTACTGTAGTGGACTTGTGGTCCTTCACTCTGGCAGTTCCTTAACACACCTAGCAAACTTCTCATTGCAAGGTCCTCACCCACCTCAGCACATTCGATCAGTATGCTTAGGCCTGGGGCCTCAGCAATGCTGCGTCTATCAGGCTTCCCAGGTGAACTGAACGAGCAATCAGCACTGTAAGCCGCTATAAACCAGAGCACAGAGATTTAGATTAGATGTTTTTGGAATTCTAATTTTCCTTTTGGCTCAAAGTGATCATGGCCACAGAACGGGTCTTATACATCAAATAAGAAGCTTTTGGGAAGAGGAGAGATAGATGTCCACCTTCTTGAGTTGGAGAGATTGAATGTGAGGCTCACCAGACATGGCAGAATCTTGTGCTCAAAGCATTTAATAATTTTCCCAGCAAAGCCATAACAGAGAAGTGGGTTAGTCTCCACAGTCAGAATTCATTATGAAGTGACACACTCAGAAGCAATGAAGAGTGACACGATACCCCTCTACCCCTCAAGTCCAGATGACACAGGCCCCAAGGAGAGCTCAGGGCCTCCTGCTCACTGCTGGGCTCTGAAGCCCTGGGTGCCAAGGGTGTGTGAGACAGCACCCTCTTGTCACCCAAGTCTGATTACAGAAGGTACAAAATGAGGACAATCTGTGTCAGGGAAAAACCTGGAGGGGGCCACTCCCGTGGGTTGGGAAGATCCTTAGTATCCTGTGAGCTGCTTCTACCCCAAACAGGAACTAACAGCCTATTATAAGTAGGTTCCTGAAATTCAGGTACACAGGCATATTCCCAAGGATCTATGATTTCCTTTCCCAATAAAAAGGACCTCAGCACTACTGAAATGAAAGAAACATTTCAAATTGGATTTTCAACAGAAACAGGCAATATTTATAGGATGTTCCAGCAGAAATGAGGGCCAACTCTTTGATCCCTACACTGTAAGACCAAACTCTCTTCAAATAACAATAAACAGGACCAAGGAGCAAAGTTCAGAATGAGCTAAACAGCTATCCAGTTGATATACATATCTAAACATCACCATCCTAATATCACTACCTAAGGAGTCTTGAGTAACCAAGCCCTTGGGTTTTACTCTCTTTTTCCCATAAATCATGGATGAGGATAGAATGAAAAAGAGAAAAGGCCATGCTTTTGATTCCTGATGCCCACAGTTATACGGACTTTGTAGTCTGACCAAACTCAGCTTGAATTTTGACTATGACATATTTTCCATCTGGTCTTAAATATTAATTAAGTTTATGAGTCTCAATTTTTCATCTATGAAAGAAAAATAATAAGCCTTAATACCTAAGATTAAGATGACCAGACAGAATGCATGGACTGTATTTTGCACAATGCCCAAAATATAGCAAATAAAGTGGAAGTTATGATCATTAATTATTTACCCCTGCATACTTCCTGAAGTTTTTTCTCTTTTGTGAAGGCTTTCTTGACTAAAATGCTTATGCACACAGTCCTTTGTAGCTCTGGTACCCAAACTATGCATTTAGATTTTCGTTATTCTATTATAGGTTGGGTACCCCTTATCCAAAATGCTTAAGACTAGAAGTTTCAGATGTTTTTTAAATTTTAGAACCTTTTTATATACGCACTGAGATATCTTGTTTGTGACTTATGACTAAACATAAAATTCATTTATGTTTTATAAATACCTTATACACATCTGAAAATAATTGTATGTAATATTTAATAATTTTATACATGAAACATGGTTTCAAGGGCTTAAATTTTCCACTTGTGGCATCAAGTTATTGCTCAAAATGCTTCAGATTTTTGAAGTGTTTCAGATTTTGGGTTTTCGGATTAAGGATGATGACTGTGTATATTGCAATTGCTTATTTACACATCTGAAAATGATTTCTTAAGGAAACAGATCATGGTTTTTTGTTTTGTTTTGTGTGTAGTATCAGGGATCAAACCCAAGACCCTACACATTCTATGGCAAGCATTTTTATCACTGGGCTACAATCCCAACCCAGATTGTGCCTTGATGTCCTTAATGCCCAGCACATACCTGATGGATGAATGAAGCAGGCTACTGCATTTACTCAGTAATAAGAAGAATCGAATTAAGGTGGTAGAATAGAAAGGAGGAGAGAGGAGATAAAGACGACACACTCTAGAAAGTGATGCCAGTGGTTGACTCTGGGATAAAAGCAGCAAAACTATTGCTTCATTGAGTTATCTAATTATAGCCAATCATAGATACAGTTCATCCAGAAAACTCCTCTCTGAGGACCTTCTAGGGAGAAAAGAGAGAGGGGTGCAAGGGCAATACTCATTCCAACAACTGGAAAAGATTTATTGATTGAGTGTACACAGACTTTCTGAAACCAGTCCCCATCGGACTGCAGACTCCCTTGGGGACATGACCCACAGACTAAGTGGAGCTTTGAAGGAAACTGGGTCAAATCAAGAACACTTACCTCCATTTTCTAATTCTTAAGGATTCTGGGCCTGTGTCTATTGGCTGCCTCTCAATCTGCCACGCTTGCTGATTATCATTTTCTACAGATTGCTTCCTGAGGAAGCCCTCCACCTGTCCCACTGATACTTTCATTTTAGTTCCACTGCTGCCTAATATCTCAATAATGACTACTAGATATATACTGCTTCAGTCATCTCCCTACCACCACCCTACTCCACACCCTCTTTCTGGAGTATGGGTGGGCCTGGAAAATCTGCTCATTCAGGAAGAGTCTCAACCATTGTCACCACTGCAGAGGATAACTGGAGAAACAAAACCCAAAGTCATCAGCCAAGAAGGAAGATTAAAATGTTTCCTTGACCACTAGGCATAGAAAACTCCCCTTCCCATTGTTGCAAATGAGGTAGTAAATAGAAAAGCCATTCAGAAAAGCTGCAGTGGTGTCCACCCCTGCACTCTGAGAAAGCCTGCCCACTAGGACACAGCATGACAAAATGCCATGTGCCTAACTCCTATCTGTGCCCATACCATCTTTCACAGCAGTGGGGTTAAGTCACTGAAAAAGTGAGCTTGCTGAGCAGGCCACTGACTTTTATCTGTAGACTTCCACTGCCATTCGTCAGTATCAATATTTTAGAACTTAGCTCAGCTTTAGTCTGAGTCCAGCACGACAATATCACGGTGAGGACTCACCACATCCTGGGAGCTAAGGACCTCCAAGATGCTGTTGAGCAATTCCACGCAGTACTTCTTCTCCAGGGCCTGGTGCTGCACCTCATCCTTTGGTTCCAACAGCTCCTTCAGCTCTTTGGTGATGACAGGAAGCAGAATGTCCCGGCATTCTGAAAAGACAGCAGTTTTGCAGGCAGGTGAGCTTCCTCTCACTGGATTTCTTTCATATGTACATATGTAAGTATTTAAAATTGTATAATGATTTATAAACTATATCACATAAATGATTTATCATTAAATGATACACAAATATATTCTCCTCATAAAAAGTGTCAATATTAAAGATTAGGTTAAGGTACCTTTGGATTATATTCCATAATTCTGATCCATCTCTAGAGGACAAACTGTTTATATAAATGCACAAACACACACACACACACACAGGTGTATATATACTGCTGGTACATGCATGTATACTGCATATTTATATATACACACATGAATCCATTTACACACACATACGTTTACATATGGTATATTTATATATATTTATACATAGTATACATGTTAAATTTATATTTACACTGGTACATATATATTATATGGGTCATATAGATTATACATTCATTTATGCATCTATATTAGTATAAACTCTCAGGTCTCATTTTTATTTTTCTCTGTCTTTAAGTCATATCATACAGTGGCTATAAACCTTTGAGTTTTTATGATTTTGCATACATATATTTCAGGTTACAAGATAGAGTCATTCTGTTTTATTTTCTTTTTCCAGTAGGAGACTAGGCTATGTGCATTGCTCATCATCTTGATACTTTTCACTTCTAATATTTCTTGGGGTACTTTTTATGTTATTACATATATGAATGAAATGAATTACTTAACATGTTATAGTATTTTCAAGATTCCTCAAAGAACTAAAACTGGAGGTTCCAGTTGACCAGCTATTCCCCTTCCTGGTATCTTTCTGAAAAAATTAAAAGTATCATACCATAGTTATATATGCACACTCATGTTTATAGCAGCACAATTTGTAACAGCTAAATGTTGGAAACAGCCCAAATGCCCATCAACTGACAAATAGATGAAGATGTTTTTTTTTATACAATGGAGTATTACTCTGCCATAAAGAAGAATGAGATTGAGATATTTATAGCTAAGTGGATGCACCTTATTCTTAAGTGAAATAAATTGAACACACATTTAGATATTGCATTGTTCCTCTGGTGTAAGAAACTGAAAGTGGAAATAAGGACTAAAATGTACAATAGACATTGGGAAATAGGAAGAATAATGTTCAGATGAGAAGGAGAACAAAGAAGGGGGAGGGAAAAAGGAAAGAAGAGACAAGAAAAAAAGAAATTAATGGAAAAACTGGAAACAAAGCTTTTATATAAGGGAAAGAAGAGGGATGGAAGGGAGGAGGGATGGGGAAAAATGAAGCAAGATATATTATGTACTGCTACAAATTCCCTATGATGAATGTTATCATTATGTATATCTAAAATGTACCAATAAATGTCTTTCTAAAAAAATAAAAAGAGCTCTACAGATAAAGAAAAGTATTTTCAAGTTATAGGTATATTTGCTTATTTAGCTATGCCCTCATTGTTGGAAAATTTTTCTGTCTTATAAACAGTACAGAAAGTAAATAACATTCCACTTGGATCCTTGTGCACATTGTTTTCACTTTAAATAAATTAAAACTTTTGTAGAGAACAGTAGCTCTCTTAACATTGCCATCTTGGGAAATTTCTGGAATACTCTGCAGCCCTGTACAGCTTTTCCTCCATATTTTCCTTAAAAATAAAAAGCTTAAGGACCCCCCTGCAAAAAAAATCCCAAAACAGTTTAAGCCATTCACATCCAGTTGCCATTTGAACTGAGATGTGAATCCCACAAATCAAGATTTCATTTAAATTCCAAAGTAGATTTTGAACATTTTTTGATCTTTTGAGGCATCATGTTTCTGGAGATACAGGGATGACATACAGTTTCTGCCCATTAGGTACTTAAAATAAAACAAAGTTGGTTAGCAGCAAAAACAAGGAGTAATGGCAGAACCTAGACTGAGAAAAGTGGAAAAGAGAAGGGCATCTCTTGTTCTGTCAGTTCCACATCTGCACTCACTGCTGGCACAGCCCCTGACTGCTCTCTGGGTAGCTGTCTTTCCATGGCTGTACCCCTGAAGAAAGTATCATAAGGCTCAGGACAAGGACGGGACAACCGCCTCCAAATAGGGTCTGAAATCTGAATCCTGAAGGAATATTTTATAATAGAAACTAGTAATATTACTAGTATACACTGAGTGCTTGTAGTGTATTATGCCACTAGACACTGATGTGTGTGTGTGTGTGTGTGTGTGTGTCCTCTTCTTTTGCAGTACTTGGGATGAAACTCAGAAATGCTACACCACTGAGCCACAGCAGTTCCTCATAAGGAAACAAAGGGACTTACTCTGTGCGCACAGCTAGGAAGTGGTGGATCCAGACTGACTGCAGAGATTGTGCTCTTAACCACTAAAGGACAGTCTTGTCCACTGTGGAGCTCAGCTGTCATTCCAGAGATGCCCAAGGAGGAAGTTGCCCGGGGTGCCTGTTGCTTCCTCCCCTAGAGCTCTTCTTTGGTCTCTCCTCTCTGACAACTGGCACCCTATCTTTCTCTGATTCTACAAATGACTTTCTGTCTTCTAAGTACATTTGTTTTTACTTAACTTTACCAAGGTAGGCTTCTGTTGCTTACAATCCTCACAACTGGTAGAGTTCCAAAATACCAGAAGAGTTTCAAAGGTAGAAATGAGCTCTGATTAGAAAGATTATGGAAGACTTTATAGGCTCTCACTGAATTGTGTCCCTTATCTCAGAACCCTGATTCTTTTTTATGTCCTTACTGGGGAGGTGAGCCCAGGCAGCATTGAGCTACAACCCTAAATCTTTTTCTTTGTTTTTTTTACTTTGAGACAAGATTTTACTAAGTTTCCCAGGCTGGCCTCAAACTAGTGGGCCTGCTGCTTCAGTCCCCCAAGAAGCTTGGGTTTTAGGTGTGTGTCCCTACTTCTATAATTAAACTAAAATCACCGCATCAATAGCCATTCTGTCCACCAATGTGCAAGTTCATGAAAGATGTACAAAAATTCAAATGCCCAATATAGCACCTGAATCATATTAAGTCAGTAAATCTTGGCTGAATGAACAAAAGCAGTGCTCTTGGAGATGGTCCTTGACATGAATAACATTGCCACAGCAAGAGTGGGGTTTAGAGAACAGTGAATGATATAGAGTATACAGTTTTAGAGAAAGTGGGACATTCTTTTTGATATAAAATAATGGAATATTACATTTAAAGTGGAAGTTTTTAAATGTTGTAGGAAAAAAAATTTATATAGTGATTCTTCTATTTATAGATAAAATCATAGGTGACAGATTTAACAATGCTTGATTATTCATTCATCTATTCTGATAAATTTTTAAAAGAATAATCTAAATACGAAAAAATTGCATTTTAAAGGTTGCTGTTCTAAGCCAGTGGTGGTGAACCTATGACATGCATGTCACAGCAGGCATTGAAAGTTCTAAAAGGTTTGCCATCTCTATGCTAAGCATTTTTGAGAGTACAAGACACTGCATTGGACATTGTCCTTTGTTAAGAGATTAAGGGGGGATAGGGCTGGGGATTTAGCTCAGTGGCACCATGCCTCCACCCACACAAGTGCAAGGTCCTGAGTTTGATCCCCAGTACTACAAAAAAAGAGAGAGAGAGAGAGATTAAGGGAGGAAGATTGGAGAATATTTATATCCCAATTATCATAAGATTTAAGTTAAATATATACTGAGTCCTTATCTTATCATCAGAAAGCTGAGCTCTTATCCAGATCTATTTATTTTAAAAGATTAAAAAATTTCTTACGATGTTGGGAAGTTTGCTTCCAAATCATATCTATAAATGGATATTAACATATGACTTTGAAACTTTGTGTTTATTAGAAGAAATTGCATGTGTTAGGATTGTTGTCAAGGGAAAACTTGTGAGATCATTTGAAGTGGTAAACAGCTCTCTGGAGATGAATAACCTCACCATCTTTAGGATACTTAACTGTCCAATTATGCCTCCACTGGTGTTCTCAAATGAAACCAAACAGAAGATAAGAATTATAAATTCTCTTACTAAGTTGGATAAGGATTATAAAGTCTTCCTTCTCAAACAGTTAATTTTGTAAACAAAATAAATAAGACATTCTAACAAAGGAGATTTAAAAGCAAAAAAAGTCTTATTTTTTTCCACAATTCTCTAGGCAAAAGGAAGTCACCAAAAAATGTTCTTTAAGAAATGCATGTCACTGCACTGTAAAAGGCTGGAGGAGGAGGAGGAGCTCAACAAGCAGAGAGCCAGCAGGATGCCCTTGTGGTTATCCTGCTGGGGACAATGAAAACAGAAGAACTAAGCTTCTCCTCATCCCACACCCAGATTTGTGTTTCTGATATAGCGCATCTGTTTATTTGCTGCAACTAACAATTTGATAAGGTATTGAAGGAACACAAAAGTAATAAAGCAAGAGTGGTCAGTTGTCTGGAATTTAAAATGTAAGAAGAGGCTGGGAAAGGAGCTCAGCGTTGAATTCGTGCTTGGCAGTCACTACACCCTTGGTTCAAACACTCGCACACACACATGCACACACACACACACACACACACTTTTCAAGGACGAAAATAGCCTTTTAGTCTTGATTCAAGACTAAAAATCGGGCCGGGGATTTAGCTCAGCAGTTCAGTGGCCTGCCTCGCAAGCGCAAGGACCCGACTTCGATCCCCAGTACCACAAAAAAAAAAAAAAAAAAAAAAAAAAAAAAAAAAAAAAAGA